ATTATGAAATAGAAACTAACCCTAGATCTGACATTTGCAGTTCTCAATGTATCTTACTTAATACTGTAATGTTTTCATGATACATATATTGCCTTATTAATTTCATATACCAGTATTGGTTGTGTATTTGTGTAAACAACTGTCTTATGTTTGTAGTCTCACAAGTATTTTTTTAGACTATATTCTAGAATAATCAGTGATGGAATAAGGACCAAAGGATTTGTATGTTGTTGCAGTAAATTCCTTAACCTTGGTATATAGTTTATAGGTATTTCTGCTTGTTCTAAATTATTCAGTAGCTGCTTCTGTATTTATCTGTGAACTTACATGAATTCTTTTTTCATTATGCTTTACTGTCATGCTTTGGAGGAAAATAACTTGTTTTGTTACAAATTTAGCATCACCATGAGTATGATGATTGGAATTCTCAGTGGACTGTGTTTAATATAGCAGTGCCTAGAAGAGCAAAGAGGAAATGTTAGCAGGTTAATTACATTACATAAATTTAAACCTGAGCTAGGCTGTAGTAGCTTTAGAAGTGTTGTATTTGTAAGTGGAATACTATAATGGAAATGGCTGTAGAAAAAAAAAGAAAATACTGAGGAATAACTGATTTTTTTTCTTTTGGTGTGCTTCAGTTCTGATTTTTGTAATGGTAAAATTGGGCTGTATGAGCTCAGCCTTATACCAGGGCTTAAAACTTCTCAATGTTACCACTGTGGTCTTTTCCAGCCTAATTGATTCTATGATTCTGTGATTCTGTGAGTGCGAAAATGGGGCACAGCAAAAACCTTTCTTCTGACAGTGAATTACTGTCTTGGAGATATGCCATGAAATGAGGTGAATTAGTCAGGGTTTATTGGGAGGAGCAATATAACACCAGTTCATATACCTGAGACAAAGGTCTGCTTCAGTGCTCTTTAAGCTTATGACTTCTTACTTAAGCGTAGTTGTACATGCCAAATTTATTGATACATACAACCTTTTACTGTGATATCTTGTGGAAATGGTGTTAATAGCAGTTTCTTATAATAAAAATATCTTCTGAGTCCTTTTTTCATAGATGAGGTGAAAACAGTATTTTACAAATATGTCTGGAGACAATTTTTTTCATCTTTGAGCTAATCAAAAGCCTTGAGATTATTTTTTTAGTGGACGTTACTGCTTCAAAGTAGTGCAGTACTTCTGGGGTACTGCTTCAACCTGAGTAGTGCAGTGCCTCAGTGTTCTTTGTATTCGGTTCTGTAACTCCTGTCGACATCATACGGCCTTTGGGTTGCTGTTGGTATTTTCTCAAGTGAGGCCTTATTTTTTTTGTATTTTAACTTTTTGGAATCTGTCAAAAGACGTAAAATCATGTCTGCTGAAGGTCACTTAGGAGTTTGAGCTGAGAATTGTTTTCATGGAATTGCGCTTTTCTCAGAAGCTTACTGTCATTATTAGTCATGCCTTAGTGTTTACTGGGATAGTTCTGTGCTATTGCAAAGTTTTTTTTCCTAGCTCTCGAGGAAAAGATAACCCTAAACTGTTGAAGAATTTGTCAGCCAACAGAATATTGGTGAAGTTTGAGCACTAAACACAGTAGTTGTTTGAAACAGGTTTTAAATGCTGAAGTTACCTTAAAAAATGAACTTCTGTAAAGCTGCAGCTATAGTCTCTACCCAGTGACTGTGCAGGAATATGGTGGAAGTGTCTCTTACTTTCTTTAGTGATGGCACAAAAACTTTCTGAGGAGCTCCTGTGTTAAAGTTCTCATGTTTTGTTTGCCAAACTCCATGGTCTCTGCAAGAGCATCTCCCAGACAAAGTATAATATTATGCATCATGTTTTCTTGCTTCAGGGTCCTTATGTGCTACAGCCCATATGTGTTGTAATGACAACGCTTTTTATAGACGGAGTGGCTGAAAATTAAAAAGAAGTAATGTGCAATGTTTTACTTCATGTATTGCAGCTGATGATAACATCAGAATAATGTAGCTCCCCAGTTTTTTGTCATCTTTGATTGTAGGGGATGAGCTGTTAGCAAAGTGAGCCATGAGTGTTAGAATGCAAGCAAGTGAAGCAGTTTTGAAAGATCAGTTGAAAATATAAGTATTTATTTGGTGAAGAAACTTTACTTCACTTGGACAAATCTTCATTGCTTGCAGTAAGTACTTCAGTATCTTTTGTAATTTTGGAAGAACAGTTGGCTCTCAACTGTAACTAGCTGCCTGTCTTAACTTCATATTATAATTTACCCAAGAGAAATATAAAACCTTTCAAAATGCTTATTTAAATGCTGATATCTTCACACACATAGAATTATAGAATGGTTAGGGTTGGAAAGGATCTTAAGATTATATATAGTTTCAACCCTCCTGCCATGGGCCAGGCATGCTTTGCACTAGATCATGTCACTCAAGGCTCTGTCCAGCCTGGCCTTGAATACTGCCAGAGATGGAGCATTTACCAATTCTTTGGACACACTCAGATTCAGGCTCTTACAGTCCTGAAAAGAAAATCTACTTTTAAAAAGTGTCTGAGTAGTATGCTTGAATTAGCATGTATGTTGAGCCATTGAAACAGCAGTATGTGTATGCTGTTTGATTTTTCAACTGTATTCCCATTTATTCCATTTTAGTAGTTTCACTCTCAAACATGGCCATTATTCAAGTTGCCCTATATGAAAATATTGTTTCCATATACAGGGAATTAGATTGCCTCTAAAGCTATTATTACTTTTATTTTTTAAGCTTCAGTAACTATTTCAACAACAAGAGGATCTTTTTCTAGAAATTAATAGAAAATGAAAAGTGGTCTGGAACTTAAGATGTTTTCATATGCAGTGCTTTTACTATTTATTCTGTAATTCCACAATATTTATAGTTTGTTAATAAAACTCGCATCTTTGTTGCTAAGGGATGCCTGGATGCTGCTTCTGAGAGCCAAATGCATGTTACTAAGCTTGTTTGGTTTGCTTATGCACATTTCAGAGAGGAGGAGAAAAGTATGTCAAAATCTTGGTACTGTTGTGCGAAGTCTTAACTAAAGTGTAACACAAAATTTACAAGTAAATTTTTCTGTAGGTGTTCAGATGCTGAAAGTTTAGTTACTTCATTAATTTAGTTTCTTTGGATCCATGCGTGGTAGTGAAGTAACATTGTCAGTGTGGATGCACACTTAATATTCAAGATGTGTGTTCTAAGGATCTTACTGGGAAATGCAAACCTAAATAACTATTTCTTAAGTCATATCGAGAGATGCCTACTGAACCATTTAATAATGAAACATTTGCTTTAATTTTGAGCTTCCTTGAAAGTACGATGTAAGTGCAGGTTTTTACATCAGGGCATAAAATTGCTTGTACTGATCTGTTCTGCAGTTTTAGATTCATTGGTGTTGATAGTGCAGTAGGTATGACCTTATAGGTATGGGTATGTGCTGTGGAGTTTGGTGATAAGACTGGCTGTTGAATGGGTCCCATATGCCTCATGAGTTGAAAACTATGAAAAGATAGCCATGTGCCTTCTGCAGCAAGAGCTCATGCTCAGAATGCCAGTTGCAGAAGTCTAACTTGAGTAGCTGATTTCTCCTGCTCTGTGTAACACAGATGTTGGTAGAGAACAGGCCAGGTACTGAATAGCTGAAGCATTTGATGGTAGTCGTTCTTTGATAGCCTGCCAACACAGGCGAAAATACCGAACCTGTTTTTCTGTTGAAAAAATCATGAAAAAATCTGGCAAGTTATGTTGATCTTGTATCTATACACATTGCTCAATTCTGGATGTACATATGAAAAAGGAAAGGTTTTCTGTTCTGACTTGCATTGCTTGCATTCGCTGTTTATCTTTCTTTTTGTTTTGTTCATGTACTTGCTTTTAGGTATTTATGCTAAATGAAAAAGTGAGAAAAGGTGGGGGGGTGAATTATTGACTTTATTATTGAGTTATAATAATTGTAATTACTTTGATTGTAGGGTTTGGTTTTTTTTCCTTGTTTTTCTTTTTTTAACAAACTCTTGTATTATAATATGGGTTTATGACTGTAAATCTGTGTTGTAATAAATTATATGCAACTTTCTCCATGTTTTTCAAGTGCCTGTCCTGTTTTGAAAGGCTATTTTAATCTGAAGCTTGCAGAATTAAGTTGGAAGCAGGGTTAAATCCTGTACTATAGCAATATATGTACCTGCAGCATAAATGTTACGTGTTCTTAAATCTTGGAAGTCAGTGTTTTATATAACCTGGCAGCCCACTGCTGAACAATATGGGTCAGTATTGTTGAAATTATTGTTTTAAGTGCCTTCTGTGTGACATTACTGGAGCCTTGTGGTCTGTGTGACTACGGTAGTCCTGCAGCTTACAACCTGGCACATAAATTACCAAGATTTTGCTTGCCTGCGTTTTTTGATCTAGCAGTCAATTTCACCCTTTTGGAATACTCCCACAGACAGAATAGGTGAAGCATCTTCAAAACTATTCCACTTAATTTTTGTGGATACGCAAGATACGTATTCTGGACTTGAAGCAGTACAGCTGTAAGCTCATAAACCTTGTGAGAACTTTGCATTTCCAACATCTTTATATTAGGTGGCGTATGCTTTTTTTTATTCTGGGTAGATTAACTTGAATTCATTGGAAAAGGGAGAAGTGGGAATCAGTATGTCTGCTAGGTCAAAATTGTAGTGATGGGTCACAAAAGGAAAGTAGAATTTGCGGACTTTAAATTATCTGCAGCTCCTTTTTCACCTTCACTGGATGTATTTTGATGATGGTGGTTTCTCTTAATATCCACATCTTAATGCTTGATTTTTATTTTTTTTTTAAAGACAAATTCATTTTAATAAAAATGATGATGCTTTTGGCTTTCCATTTCATTATATCTTGCAGGGTATATTTGTTTGTAACTTGATACAAACCCCCAAGATTTATTTACAGATCTATAAGTTAAAACCAAGAAATGCAGTATCTATGATAGGAAATATGTGCAAATATATTAACTACATTTTGTTTTCTTTACAGAAACCATAGCCCATTAATGAGTTTTGGAGCCAGTTTTGTCAGTTTTTTGGTGAGTAGCTGAGAGCAGACAGTATAAACCTCTTCTTTTTTGGTTAATGTTTATGTGTATGCATGTGTTCATTATGGTTGACACTTTGTTTATTTTTATGAGGCTGTTTTCAAATTTTTAGATTAAATGTAGCTACAAAACAAGTCATTATTATAAAACTTGTTTATTCATGTGTTTTTAATATAAAGGTTTTGTGATTCAGCTTCTCAAATATATGAAATATTTGTGTTCCATTAAAAATGCCATAATAAAGCCCTCTCAAGTGAGCACTAGAGGTTTTATTAAAATAATACTCATAAATGCCATTTTCTTCATAGCTTTTGCTACTGAAAATTTCTCTATCTGTATTGCCTAGTGGAAGTTGTTAGTTCAGTCCATGTGTATTGCTTCATAGAATAGAGTAGAACTGAGAATACTGACTGACTAAAAAGTCATAATGGGCCTGTTAATGCTTTTGTGATGTGCAGACATGGTTTCTTCCAAGCCTTGAAGAAAGAGTCATAATGAGTGTGTTAAATGCTTTTCTTTTTTAATGTATTATAAATGAGAATATGTTATGTAAAAAAATGAGCAGGTGTATTAGAAAATGTTTAGGTCTTGGTTTTTAGACTGTCCTTACTCTGACTTTGGTGCTTAATTTTAGATAACACCAGAAATCATCTATGGTAATACTACCTTTTTTTAAGGACAGGATTTATTATAATATGCCACAAATAAGTAAGTTGTAAATGAAATTAATTTGAATGTTCTCTAATGTTTGTAGACTATGCAATATGGAAAAAAATGCATTGGTTAGGAAACCCGGGGCATAGGCATATGCCTGTAAGTCCATGGAGAGAGAAAGGAAAGAGAGAGAATCTCAGGCTTGCTTATCTGAATTGATGTGCTGAACCAGTGTAACATCACAGTGCAGCGTCAGTGGATCTTGGAAATATCTTGCTTAGCTGCTGTTCTAAACATAGCAGCAGCGCTTGTTGTGCTGGTTTCATTCAGAGCTTTCGTTTAATAAGGCATCAGGAAAAGAAGTTAGTTGCCTTGAAATCCTTTTGAAATTGGTTCAGCAGTAGCTGGAGTAGGATGTGGGTTTTTCCTTCATACATGTGTAGGAACTGTGGTTGTTATTTTGAAATAGCTGTTACTTGTTACTGGCTTTGAAGCCCTGTTACATGGATGAATTGTATAAAAGCAGTACCTGCACAGATGCAAATCATGCCTCAGAATACCATAATTAATTACTAGTAAGTTTTAATGTCAAGTTTTCATACAAACTTTCACTATCCTATAGCTTTCATAGAAATGAAAATATTTATGACTTTTATCATTCAAATGTGTTCGTGTTTTGGTAGAATGCCATGATGACATTTGAAGAAGAAAAAATGCAGCTGGCCTGTGATGACTTAAAGGCGACAGAGAAACTTTGTGAAAGCGAAGAAGCCGGAGTTATAGAAACAATCAAGAATAAAATAAAGAAAAATGTAAGTATTACTTATAAGACATGGAATTGCATATTGGATGAAAATTTCTGGAATTTCCTTTCTGTTCTCTTTGTATTTTGAATGGATGATTTTTGATATGTGAAGAGTAGTTAAGATTAATTTACATTTAGAAATTCAGTAAAATACTCTGTTTGGATTTCCTAATTATCATAAAATACTTAGTCAGTAATGTGTCTTCTAAAGCAGCAGGTTGTGTTGACGTTAGTAATTTTTTTAACACATCAAATTAGTGTCCTGCTGGAATTATTTCAGGAAGCTTGTAGCTCATCTAATTGAGGCTAACTTTAATCCATACATGCTCTAGTAACAGTCAAAAGTTGTGCTGTTGAGGCTGCATAGTGCTGTGTGCCAGGCGTATTCCTAGGGAGTTTTCTTTCCTTTTTTTAGACTTTTGGTTCTAAATAAGAATAAAGCTTGCAGATTGAGAACTAGTTGAAGCAGTCATACAGAAATGTCTAGTGAGTGGCCTACCTACTGTGACATAGCAGATCTACAGCAGAAGCAGCAGGCGTTTCTCTTCAATATTTAGTTTACTTAGTAAAAAGTACTGAATGCAACATACTTAATTCTCTGCTCTTTAGAGGCACTGCATTTTCTCTGTCACTTATCATATACCCCTTTCTGTGCTCTTGCTATCTGACATATTTTTGTTGCATGTCTGATGTCGTTAATAGTAATGAAATGAAATTTAGATGTGTTCTTGAGTATTTGTAGAATCTTAAGAAAAATATTTGGTAGTATATATGTAAGAGTTCCCTTTTTGTTAAGTAGGATCTTGCTTGATGACCTGTCAAAAGAACTTTTGCACTTGAAAATGCTGAGTTAAATTAGTAGCAGTAGTACCACTTGAAGTTAATTTTGGATTTTGTTAATTTTTTAGATTGATTAATATTCTGTATTATCTTTGTTAACATTTTTCTGTGCTCTGTGTTTGTATATTCCAAATAGGTTGATGGACGAAAATCCACTCTATCCATGATGGATCGTCTACAAAGACAAATAATTGTAGCAGACTGTCAAGTCTACTTGGCTGTGCTCTCATTTGTAAAACAAGAGTTATCAGGTGTGCTGGGGCTTTAAGGTTTAGATACTTATTGTTGTATGATGTCTTTTTAATAAAGTTTGATCATAAAGTGGCAATATCACTGTCAGTAAAGGTTATTTTTTGTAAGAAAGAGCATAATTCCATTTGAAACATTCCAAGATTGGTACACTTGCAGATGTACTACCTACCTATGTGTAAGTAGTAGTATCATAAAATGAGTTGTATTACTACAGATTACAGATTTCGGGTTTTTTTTTCACACCAGTAATCATATACAACCTATTCTCCTTAAGATAGGCTGGAATCCCTAGCATGTTCCCATAGAAGCATTTGAGGAGTTGGTACAAAGATGGGTAGCATCTGCATGCTTCGTGTGGCCTATAAAAAAGGCTGTAAGTCCAGGTCACTGGGAAAATCCTAATGCTCCATATGCATTCTATTTGCAACAACTCAAGGAGGTGACAAACTGCCAGTGAAAGTAATCTTAAATGGAGTGTGGTGAAGATGGAGCTGCTGAATTGGTTCTTATTGTCTGGTCACCAAGAGTGTCCTTGAGTGCCCAAGAGGTTAATCCTGTCATGTTGAATACAAACCTCCTTGTCTCTGCTGCAGATCTGTTTCTAATGTTCTCTTGCATTCCTGGATTTCTTGCACAATCTTAAAATATGCCTTCATTCATTAGTTTATAGAAAATGAGGTCAGCGTCATATACAAACTGAGCACATTCCCAGGTTCTTAACAAATAAATTGTATCAGTCAGACCAGATTGACAGTGAAAACCCTGCTGAAAGGAATCAGGGAAATAACATTCAGATTATTTAAAATAACGCTACGATCTTCAGTTAAGGGCATAATACTTTCTATGATGTGCAGACTTGGTTTCCTCCAAGCCATCAAGAAAGTGGTTGGTTCTAGCCAGCAGAAATTCACTGTATTTATCCATCTGCTGCGTGTGTAGTGCTGCAGGAAGGTTTTCTTACTGTTCTGATGCGGTTCTGGGTTTTCATTTGTGTTTGGGTTTTGGTTTTAGCTTGGGTTTTTTTTGTTGGTTGTTTGCTTGGTTCTTTGGTTGGGGTTTGGTTTTGGTTTTTTTTTGGGGGGGAGGGGGACTCTCCCTTGAAGTTGTTTTCTTATTTCAGTATGTATTCTGCAGCTGCATAATTGGGTTGGATGCTGTAACTGAGGGTGGTGTCTGTTCCCTTTCTCCTGTGCTGCTCAGAGAACTGAAATGGGTAGCAGAGTACTGCAGGATGTGTGATATATTTGGGTTACTCTACTCAGTAAAAAATATACCTGAAATTTGTAGTTAAACACCACCTCAGCAACTGCTGGTTACTGCTATTACTGAATTATTCAGTCCATTATTTCAGTTTTTTGACTATAGTATCTTTCTCATTATGTATAAAACATCCTTTTTTTTATCATGTTTCTGTATCAAAATAGCAACCAGATTATTGAAATGAGTGTGGTTTTCCAAAAAAACAACTAACCAGAAAACCCACCAAAAAACAAACACCCCCCCCAAACAAAAAAAAAGAAACAAACCCCCAAAACCCCCCAAAAAACAAAACACAGTCTTCAGAGGCAGACAAATATTTCTGATCAGTGGATGGATGAAATGTTTTTTGTTTTTCCTCCTGGAACAGTTTGAGAAGAAGCATACGATGACATGCAGGCTGCTTTCTCATGTGCCTAACACATTTTATATTTTCTTTTCCACCCTCATGGATGTATTACAGATAGTTTCATCATAAAATTAGTAACACAGCAACTTACATTAGCTTCCCACAGCAATATTGAACTACCTTTTCTTAATACTTACCACTGCTGTCATGGGCCTTTCCACTTTCCCATCATGGTGGGATATCAGCTCACTGGTTGGGTTTGTTTTAATTTTTCCGTTTAAAAAGTCAGAAATACGTTATTTTAATTTGTTAGATTGTTTTATTTTAGTGTATCAAATCTATTGGGGTTATGCTGTGTTAGTGAACTGTTAATGGCAGCACAATTAAGCACAGAAGCGAAGCATAAAACTACTTTTTTTTATCACATTGTACCCTTCTCATTTGATGCATGCATCCAAGCACAGTAATTAGCTATTAGCCGAAACACTATCTGTAGGATAAGTAGAATGTGGGGTTTTCCCTCATTTGTCTGCTGCATTGCTATGCATAGTTGTATGAACATTCATTTTGTGGTAAACCACATCACTTTCAAAGTTTTCTGTGCAGCCAGAAAGTGACCTAATTCCTTAAAACTGAAGTAACGTTAGTCTTGTAATGCAGCTGAATCATGACAGGGGTTTACATTTTTTATTATAACACTTTAATATGGAACTCAAGGCAGAGGATTTTTATGTTTTTTTTTAATACTTTAGGTTCATGTTGACAGAACCCTCCTGTCACAACTGAGAATACAAATTTTGCAGTTTTTCTCGGTGCAATTTCATAAGAATGTCAAACTAGCTTCACTCCCTCTTCATACAAGAAGAATCAAAAAATAGGTAGTCTGGTCTGTGATGGTGCTTTCTCTAGAAATGGTTTTGGTTTTTAATTGGAGGGATTTTGTCAAAAGCTTAAAAAGAGTAGTTTGGTATTAATAGTGTTCTCCTTTTCATTGAAACACCCCACCTGTTATCATCTAATCCTGGCATCACTTACAACACTGATCCCTGTAAATCTGGTAATCTGTTTACAATGCTGCTGCTATACCCATGCTTTTGTTTTCTCTGATTTTTAGTTAACTCCTTTGTCACTATAATTTCAAACTCTCAGTGCTCTATCACAGACAAAATGCTGGTGTTTGCTTTTACAGTTAATGTGTATATTTACTGTTTGCTATCTCTTTACTACTTGTCGTTATCCAACGATGTGCTATAACCAGGATGAATGCTGTGTAAATAGGCAAACTGGACATCTTCATCTTTTGGTGTCATGCCTTTCTTTACTCTCCTGTATAGAGGGTAATGAGACTGAAAATTTCTCATTCTCAACTGAGGAATGCTTAAGATCAGACTCTTTTGAAATTTAGGTACCCAGCTTGCATTTGAAACTGAGAAAATGAGGTAACTGAAAAATGTTTTGAAACCATAACATTTATGCATTTTTTTTTCTAAGATTTTTTTCTTAATTACAAGGCACTGTGTTCATATGAGGAGTAAGAAAGCGGTGTTGAAAATCTTATTATGTAGTCTGAAGGAAGGGGGTTTCTTAGTATTTTCCCATCAACTTTCTTGTTAACATCTTCTGTATTTAAGAGGTGTAATCTCTTCCCTGAGTTTTGCTTCTCTGTTTGCCAAGCAGCCATTTCATCTCCACTCTATAGTGAAGCAGGATCCAGCATGAAATTCTTTGATTTCTCTGTTTCTTTCTGACAGTTGTATTGCTGCATAGCTGAGGGGAAGTCTCTTTGTATTGCAGGCTGGTTTTAAGTCTCTGGTTGAAAAGCACTTGAGTTTGTAGTGCCCAGTATGAAAGAGCTCTTCAAGAGGCCACTGGCTGTGGTAGAATCCTTTATACAATAAGTCAGTGCAAATAGAACATCTTAGGATTTGTGAAATAGCATTTGCTACCTACCATGTTCTACTTTTTAAATATGTCCTTAAAGTAGTTTTTCCTTGGTTTGATTATTTTTTTCTTTTTTTCAGCATACATAAAAGGTGGGTGGATACTCCGAAAAGCCTGGAAAATTTACAATAAGTGCTATACGGACATTAATACACTTCAGGAAATATATCAGAAGAAAACAACTCGGGAATCCTTGACTTCTGATGCTGCAAATGATAATCATATTGCTGCAGAAGGTGTAACGGAGGATTCGCTAAACAGACTGAAAGGTGCTGTTAGCTTTGGATATGGACTTTTTCATCTTTGCATATCCATGGTGCCCCCAAACCTGCTCAAAATCATCAACCTGCTGGGTTTTCCTGGAGACCGCCTACAGGGGCTTTCTTCACTGATGTATGCAAGTGAAAGTAAGGACATGAAGGCCCCTTTAGCTACGTGAGTAGCTATATTGAAATGCTTTGGTAGATAACTTAGTACTAGAAGTAAGTAACTGGAAAAAAGTCAAAAGCAAAAAGTCATGTTGCTTTAAAGGAAACAACAGCAGGTAAAATAAACTTGTTTGTTATTTAACATGCTGTGGTTTAATAAATTTGTCACTTCCTAGTGTGTAAGATCTCTCTGCTGTTAGTTATTTACGTATATTTGGGGTTTGTCAGTGTTTTGCTATGTTCTTCAGTACCTTCAGACCTAACATCTAGTAGTTTACATGCCAGCAGAGTAAACGAAAGCACTCCCTGAAGGCTGAGTAAATATACCCGAGTTACATTCTCCACTGTGGAGAGTATACTATTTTGTATGAATCACTGAGCTCACTTAGCTGTTTATCCTGATTATTAGCCAAATATATTTTCCAGTTTATTATTAATTTTAGCATCTGAGTAAAATGGGATGTTCCCTTACAGTATTTTTAGAGGAGTATTCTTTTGTGTACTCTTCTTTTTCCTAAGCATTCATACTGCATTCAGGTTTTCCCAGTGTGAAGGGTTAGCCAGACTTAATTTAAACTACCCTCATAAAACGGTTTATTATTCCATTATCTCTAAATTAATGCTTTTATTATGGCACCTACTGCAGGTACCGTCAGGTGTCACTTTTGAAATATTGACAGCAGAGCTCTTGTCTCTTCTTTGAGAAGGGTTGGATTTCTGATTGTTTAAGAAAGCTTAAGATTAAGTGCTCCTGTTGGTGTGTTCTTTCTCCTTTTCGGGAAAGGAAAATTGTATTTTTCAGGGTGTTTCCTCCTTCCGATGGTCTTGGAATTCTTTGTGCTCTGCCCTTGTTTCCAGGAGCAATGTAGGTCATGTAGATGTCTGCTCTTCTGAACAATGGATGTATTTTTTTTTTTGACATTGATTTCAAGTGTCTGCTGTTGTGTGTTTAGCTTTGTTGGTTTTCTCTAGCTTGGGTTTTGTTGTTTTGGGGTTTTTTTCCCTGTAATTAACAACTCATCTTTGAAGTTTTCCTGTGGGTTTTTCTTTTTTAGAATCTAGAGTTCTAAAGACTCAACTGCTTTGATGATAGGAGTTTGTTACTTTACCTCTGAATAATGTGCATTACATTGTATGTTCAGGTGCAGTTTAGAAGAACATTGATATATGGCAATAGTATTGTGTTTGTTCTAAAGCCAGGTTGTATAGGAAAAGATTCGTATCTATCTTTCAGGATCATGTGAAAATTTAAGTTGTATAATGTTCTACTGTGAAGAATGTTACCCTTAGATTTCTGTTTAAGAGCTGTAATCCTTTTTACCCTTATGTTTCTTTTAGATTAGCTCTGTTGTGGTACCACACAGTTGTTCGTCCCTTTTTTGCCCTTGATGGCAGTGATAACAAGGCAGGATTGCAAGAGGCAAAAGAAATTCTTGCAAAAAAAGAATCTGCTTATCCAAATTCTTCTCTGTTCATGTTCTTCAAGGGAAGGATACAGCGATTAGAGGTATTGCATGTTGTCTTCCTTTTGACTGGTTTCTGTTCCCCAGCCTTCATTATTTCATGTTTTTCTGATGTGAATGACCTGTGCAAGCTTCAGCAAATTGTGACTGAAGAAGCAGATAGCATGGAAAGATAAGAAGAAAGGAGTAACTCTTTCGCAGTTTCAGTTTCACATGCCAAACCTGCTCTTCCTCTACTTTTGTCTGAATTACTGGCACTTTCAAATTCTTTTTCAGCGGCTTGATGCATTTGGAAAGCATAAAGGAGGCTAAAAGGAAGTGCTTTTGGTCACTCATGAGTTTCTTGTGGTATAAATAGCTCTTTCAGTTTTGCTGGTCAAGCTAAAATCTGAGTATGTATCTGCTGAGTACACAGCGTTTCTCTTCCCCCTTTCATTCTTATGTGTTGTTCATATACAGATAATTCTCTGAGTAATTGCTTTTAAGAGGGCAACCCAGGATGTTTTCTGTTGCAAAGGTTGAGCTCTGACCCAAGCAGGAGTGTATTCACAGAAAATGTGTTTGTGAATGATGTTGCAGAGTGCTATTCAAACACTGCAGTTGCAATCATGGGTTTTGGCTGAGTTATTCTTTAAGAATCCATGATAATAGAAGATGGTGGTGAGTACTTTAAAGTAGGCAACTCTCAGCTGCTGCTTTTATCAAACTAGGATATTTCTAGTGCAGCCACACTAACAAGAAAAGCCAATACACAGACCTAGAATGTTCAGACCCTTCATCTCAATGTCGTAATTACAAGAGCTGATCCAGTTCTTAATGTTGGTGGTCAACGGGTTCAAACTTCAACAGCGGAAGTTTAGATTGGAGGTAAGGAGGAAGTTCTTTACTGTAAGGGTGGTGAGGCACTGGAATGGGTTGCCCAAGGAAATTGTGAATGCTCCGTCCCTGGCGATGTTCAAGGCCAGGTAGGACATCACTGAGCATGAGGTGTCCCTGCCCATGGCAAGGGGGTTGGAACTAGGTGATCTTAAGGTCCTTTCCAACCCTAACTATTCTATGATTCTTTGCTAGGTTTTGCAGTTAACTCTCAAATACAGCTTAATATTTTGAGAGAGGTAACAACAATAACAAGAACAGAGGGGCAGGCTTCATTCTTGCATGGGATTTGGATGTTGATTTGGAGGGGGGTAGAATTACACTATCGTGGGCAGGCTGTCAGTCTTTAGAAGTATGGCTGTTTTCTGAGTGAAAAGACATTTAGTGATCTTTGTTCAATTATATGATTATTACATTCTAGAGGTAAAAGTCAAATATGCTAGGACTGGCTACACTATGAATGCAAGTCCAGTTACAAATACAGATATGTCGATTGTCAGAGTATGACTTTGGTATTTACAACTCCCCACCCTCCTTTCAATTTCATGTTTAGTGTAATGAATAAAATACAGGTGATTCTTCTGACTTTCAGCACAAGCAGGGAAAAAGTTTAAACGTAAGTTGTAAGCAAGCTGTGTATATGTTTTTATGTGTAAATAGGATAGGTTTGGGATGATTGTCAGTTTTGTATAGTCAGTCCCTTTCTGGAGCCTAGTTATGTTTCAGATGAGAGGGGTTTTTTACATGTTACCTTATAGTGTTTGTGCAATTAAATGATGCAGGATGTAGATACCGAAGTTTATCTCAAAGTGAAATAGTTTGTGCCAGAGACAGCCTGGCCATGTTAATGAAATCAGTTAGCTTAGGCAGGCAGAATGCTGTGCGCTGTGCTATGTAACCATGCCCTTAGTCAGCAGAAAGCTTAGTGGTTGCTAACAGGAATTAAAATGTCCCTTTGCTATTCATGTGTGTGTTTGCATGAGAACTTTTCCATTCAGCAGCCTTTTCCCCCTTGCTCTTCCCGCCCCACATATCTTTGTTATATGTGATACTGTATCACGCAGGTTTTGCTGTGTCTAAATGTTTTTGTTAAACATCTCAGGCTTTTTCTGTAGACTCTAGGAATTTACAAGCTTAATTTGCTCAAATGTTGTTGACATAATAGTGAAGGTAGATTTGTATCTAATGGCAATGGCACAGGGAGCTGCACTGGTTTCCTGCATGACGCACTTGCGGTTACATCTGTCTCACATTTATACATTCTGAACCAGAAGTTCACATAAATTCTTAGATTACAAACTGAAATGCTGAGTTGTAATGTCCACATAATTTCCAAGACAGGTGAGGAGAGCTTGTGCAAAGCCTGGGGAGTGCTTTTATGGCCTTCCTTGAAACTGTTTATACACAGGTGGGTTCAAACACTTGGCAGCTGGCACAGAAATGCTGTTTTCAGGTGTCTTACTGAAATTGGGAAGTCTGCTTTAACCTACATGCACTTAAAAGTATACCTTGAGATGAAGCTTGTTTTATGGTTTTCAGCATCACATCTATCATCTTTTAACAGCTCTGTGATAAAATTTAATTGTGCACAGATGAAAGGCGGCTTAAATGTTATACGAAACAGCTTGTGTTCTATAAGTACAGATCAGTAGCGGTCATTATAGGCTTTCTGTTACAGCCTGTTAGCACGCAGTCCATTTGGTCTTGTTTTACAGCCTTCAATCCTGCATTTCAGCTGATGGTATGTATATTCAGCTTCTGCTAGCAGGTCTGCATACACCTATAGATCTGTACGTGTGCATTTTTTTCTTTTCTATGAAGGAAAAAAAGCCAGTAAGGAACCTGATGCTGCCATGGACACCTGTAGGCAGGGAAACTGGTGAAAAAGCCAAAGCAGTAATGCAAGACTGGACAGTGAGACACAAATCTCACAAAGGAGAAAATTGCCAAGGGAGGCAGTTGAGAAGAAAGGAAGATTTTGCAGTGACAGTACTGTGAAAGACAGATGACAAACATGTGACTCTAACGCTTTGTCCACCAAAAAGCATGTGTAATTATTAGTCAATAAAAGCCTCAACAGATTTTGGTTTTCTAAGAAGTAGCCTTACAGGTACTATAAACTTGGACCAAATTATCTTTCAGCTTTTTTCCCAGCTTCATGTTTTTGAGGAATGAAGTCTGAAAGCATTTGGAGAATGTTGAATGAGTTAAGGGAAAGGAGAGGAGGATGATCTGGGAAAGCAGGAATGAAAGTGCACCAGAAAGTTAAAGGTTGCACTGGTAGGCTGATCACATATCTCTCTTATTCAAAGAGTAAGTTAAGAGACTGCTTATTAAAAGTAGTATTTTTCATGGCTTTTACACTTAGGCTGTTTTTGTGGGCATACTTATGTGCTTGACATGATGGTGTACTATCTATTCCAGCCTCAAGTATTTCTGTCTTTGAAATATTTTCCACTGAAGCTGGTAATGATGTTTCATGTAAGCTTAAGCTATTAAAACCAAGTGAGAATAATGTTTTGTACTTGTGCCTAAAGGGTACGTAAAAAGTAATTAGTACAGTAGCTGCTGAAACCCACTGTTCTGAAATTCAGAGTTTCTGGCTGTACCCTTGGGCCTTTCGTATTACTGTGAAAATAAAAATAATTGACATCCATTTGCTAAATTTGCCTTGTCTAATATTGTAATTATATTAATAAATGCAAATTTACTTGTGACTTAGACTATTTAAGTGTGGTATTTTGACCAGTAGTGAAAGATGGGCATATGGTGGCAGGATTAAAAGGTGGTGTTCTGAATTCTTACCCATTTCTGCTTTTTAGCTTGCAGTTTTGCTTTCCTCTTCAAATTGTTCTGCTCAGAAATAGTTAAATAGATTGATAGCTTCATGTGGAAAGTGGTAAGGGTATAAAGCAAAAATAGTGCTTAGCAAAATCATGAACTGGGCAAGATTACTTTTCTGTGATTGGGAACAGACTTTGATTGAGAACAGACTCCAGGTGTGTATGCATAAACAACAACCAATCTCTGTCCCAGGGGTGGGACAAAAACCCTGAGTTCTGAGGCTTGGTCTATAGAGGTCAGTTGGTATAAGTGTATGTTAAAAGTCTGGAGGGAAAAGTACAAAGTACTCCAGCTGATGGGCAAAACACCAGTGGTACATTTGGGCATACACTGATTTGCAGGCTGGTGAAAACATGCAGTGGTGTTGCAGGCTTAAATGTAATGCTGACAAGAATTTCAGTTGCCTTTTGTAGGCATCTCAGCATCATTTAGGAGTGGGAGATGTGGCACAGAAAAGTAGTCTGAGAGCAAGAGTAATAATAAGCAGTGAAGAGTCTAAGTCTGCTGTAAAGTCTCAAGTGATGTGTTAAGAAATTTTCAGAGGTTGTGTAATGAATGTCAGAGTTTATTTTCAGCAGTTGTGTGGGCCACTCTAGTTGTTTGTTCTCAGCTATAAAGGACAGAATCCTAGTTTTACTCTATTTTGATTTTCCGGTGTGTCTAAGGAAAAAAGGGCAAGGGGGTGTCTGGGGCATATGTGTGTTAGGGAATAGAAAATACAGACAGAAATTCCCATGGTATCCCCCAACACACATTGTCCTGTTTTAGATACAGTTAGCTGGTTTCCCCTTAAAATTTAGCATAACTTCTTAAAAGCCTTATGAGTTCATAGTGCTGTTCAAGAAGAGAGGACCTGGAAGAGAGAAAGTGCCCTGAGATTTCAGAACTCCGTGGAGAAATGTGTGTTGGCTCAGGAAGCCACCTTGGCTGGGTAAACTCTGTAGGTGCTTAGTTTAATTCAAATTCAGGAAATGTAAGATAAAAATTCCAGCACCGTTTTATTGTATCTGTAAGACGGGGGTTGTAACAGGTTCGAGGTAGTCATGCTTGCAGCCCAGAAAGCCAACCGTATCCTGGGCTGCATCAAAAGGAGTGTGACCAGCAGGTCGAAGGAGGTGATCCTGCCCCTTTATTCTGCTCTTGTGAGACCTCACTTGGAGTATTGTGTGCAGTTCTGGTGTCCTCAACATAAAAAAGACATGGAGCTGTTGAAACAAGTCCAGAGGAGGGCCATGAGGATGATCAGGGGACTGGAGCACCTCCTGTATGAAGATCAGCTGAGAAAGTTGGGGCTGTTCAGCCTGGAGAAGAGAAGGCTGTGTGGAGACCTCATAGCAGCCTTCCAGTATCTGAAGGGGGCTTATAGGGATGGTGGGGAGGGACTCCTCATTAGGGACTGTAGTGATAGGACAAGGGGTAATGGGTTAAAACTTAAACAGGGGAAGTTTAGATTGGATATAAGGAGGAAATTCTTTCCTGTTAGGGTGGTGAGGCACTGGAATGGGTTGCCCAGGGAAGTTGTGAATGCTCCATCCCTGGCAGTGTTCAAGGCCAGGTTGGATGAGGCCTTGGGTGATCTGGTTTAGAGCGAGGTGTCCCTGCCCATGGCAGGGGGGTTGGAACTTGATGATTTTAAGGTCCTTTCCAACTCTAACCAGTCTGTGATTCTATGATCCTGTGTTGCACGTAGTAGCATCAGTGAGGTAATATGTAGTGGAGAGAATCTGCTGCTACAAAAGTAAAAACAAGGTGTACATTGCTCACACTCCCTCTTTAATTTGGGGGAAATACAACTTGCCTGTCTTTTTGTATAGTGTGTTCTTCCATCATGCCAACAAGTATCTTAGTCTAATCACTATTCGCACATTTTCACAATGTTTATATTGGTACGGCTGTGGATCCCATTGCTGGCAGTTCTGCTCTCTTGATGCAATCTATATGATTTATGGTTAAATTGTTTCTTAGCAACTAAAACAGTTTTCCCTGATAAGACAAATAACAAAATCTAATAAAATCACTCTAGAGTTCTCTGTGTGTGTGTAGTCTTAAGATATGGTGCTGCAGATTTTTGCAGGAATTATTGAATTCAGTTATGCTTGTGTACGATGACAGGTTTGCTTTTTCAAGGGTTTCTTTGACTTACATGCTTAGCCAGCAGAGTGCAGCTTAAACTTTTTCTGTTATTTAAATTATTATAATTGTATGCAAGAATAAATATGGGAACACTGTTAAAGCAGGATAAATAGTGTGTCTGTATATGAAACTAATAAAACTCTCTTTATGATGATTATTATAGCGAAGTCCCATCCTAGAAAGGGAAAAATAGTAAATGCTAAAAATAGGCTTTTGAAGGTAGAATGACTCATGTAAGTGTAGAAATGAAATTACTCAAGTTTACTGCACAAAACCAATTTCAAACATAATAGCAAATAGAAAGAATACAGCCAGTGATTTCTGATTTCTAAGGTTGAGAGATGATCTTGAAATCGTAAATTTGATCTGTAAATTATTGGTGATCATTATTACCGTATTAACCTTTTCTACTGTCCCTCTCCCAGCCTTTTTAAACTCTGTAGTGTTCTGTACTTCTCATATGACTTTCAGAGTGCAGGTGCCATACTGTAAGTCTTAAATTTTTGCTGCTGTACATGGTGGAACTCATTATTAGAACCATTGCATTCTTATGTAAAGTTTCATTTAAATATGAAACTGAGTTACTTTATATTGGTAATTCTTACTTCACTTGTCTCTTATAATTCGGCTTTTGTATTATGTTTCCTATCATGAATACAAAGCACATGGAAAAATCTGCTCATTGTGGGACCTCTTTAAGATGCTCATTTACTATTGTAAATAAAGACTTTGTCATAATTTGCCCAGACGTCCATTCAGCAGTGATCAGGTCGAGAGAGCTGGGAGAAGGGAATTTTGCCAAAGGAATTGCAGTGTGGAGCTGGTATATTGAATTAATATTGGCTATTTTCCAAACTGTTAGCTCTGTGGTGGATTTTAGCTGATTTAAAATAATGTGGAGTCTGAAAATGTATTTGGAGGTTTTCTTTTCAATGGGATGTTGTGACTCCCTAATCAAATCAGAGTCTGTAGTCTGAGACACTTCAATATTGATATTTTTAACTACAGTTATTTTAAATAGAAACATGAATTTTTTATCAACATCAAAGTGTCCAACAAATTTCAGACATCTGATTTTTTTTTAATTTATATATTTCACTTTCAGTGTCAAATCAATAGTGCCTTGACCTCATTTCATACCGCTTTGGAACTTGCAACAGACCAAAGGGAGATTCAACATGTCTGCTTATATGAAATAGGTAAGTTGGATATGTTCACACTCACTTTCAAGTCTAGGCTAGCAACTTCAATTAAAAAATTGGATTATCTTTATTAGGATTTTAAAAAGGGTTTTACAATACTGTCTTTTGTCTTGGATGGACTGTGGTAGTGATCGTGTCTTGTTTAGGCAAGTAGAATTCAACAAGTAGAATCAAGGTCAAACTGTTCACCTCCAGAATATTATTTAGAAGGAGAAATTAATTAATCTGATTTCTCTGTAGAATCACAATATCTGTGCCAAAACCAAATGGGACTAGTGAAGCTTCACAGCTTGCAGGACGTGTATTTCGTGTTCATTTCCTTCTGTCAATAGCAATATGTTCTCAATTTGTATACAAGTGTTTAAAGTGATGAAGATAATGTTGCTTCAAGCTTTAAATGTGTTTTGTTAAGGGATCATGTCACAGTGGGGAAGAACAAGGGAGCAAGTGGTAGCTTTGTAAGTTTCAGCATCCTACAAAATGTGGTATTTAAAAAAAAAAAAAAAGTGTTTTTTATGTCTGTATAGATTTGTTGTTGCTCTGAAGTGGATTCATTGCTTTATATGCAATCTTGTAATTCAACATTTCCCAGTAAATTTAAACCAGGCTTTAAGTGTTTCATTGATTTGTTATGGGTTTAACTTTTCCGGTTACTGTTATAAACGTTGAAATAGCCCCAGCTCTTGGAGCAGGTGGTATGTTGCAGTAACACTGACACCAAATTTGAATTACTATGCTTTCTCTGAAGTTAAATTCATTTTGCTTTTATAGGTTGGTGCAGCATGATAGAGATGAATTTCAAAGATGCATTTGAATCCTTTGAAAGGCTTAAAAATGAATCCAGGTGGTCCCAGTGCTACTATGCTTATTTAACAGCAGGTGAGTATAATCAATGTGTTGGATAAATGATAAATCAGTGATGTGATAAGGTTTTGGCACTTTTGTTTTGGTGTATTTACTTATGCACATAGTGTCTTCCACACTGTCTGCTTCTTATGCACCTTTATGCCAGACTTACTTAATTTTGGGGTTTTATAAATGTACACTTGCATGTACATGCATGTGCATACATTTCCCCCCCAGTGTTGATAGTATTTATGATTGTCAGTGTAGTTACAGGTCATATAACTCTATTATGAAGATATAATAAATAAATCCTTAGAGACTGGGGGGTGTTAGTTCTTTTAATGGATACAAAAAAGTGCTGACTTGTTAATGATCACAGCGGGTACTTGGGAGAGTTGGGTTAGCATGTTTCTCAAATCCCAGGTCTGGATCCTTTTTGGAAGTGAGTGTGTGTTTTCTTGTGGCTGTATAATATGCAATCTTTGTTTCCTGTTTCATATCCCAGTAGTGTTAACGCATTTTTTGTTTGTGTTCTTTAGTATGTCAAGGAGCCACTGGTGATGTCAGTGGTGCTCAGAATGTGTTCAAGGAAGTTCAGAAGCTTTTCAAAAGGAAAAACAATCAGATTGAACAATTTTCAGTGAAAAAGGTTTGGTTTTTAGCATAGGCTGACTTATTTCAGTACAGTAATTACACTTGATAATTTTATTGGATTCTTTACCAGTATTTATTTTTGAAGGATGTATTTGTTTTTTCTGCTCTGTTGCATCTGTGGAAAAATAATAGTATCATGTATTTTAAGGACCTAGCAAAGGAAATATGAATTAGCAATTTGCTTTGAACTAAAGTAATTATTAAAGATAAAAATACATAATGCTGTAGTTGCTTCGGAAATTTCCTTCTGTCTTTGCCTTTCTTAGTCATTTTTATCTTGTCTTGTTTGTCAAAGCCTGAGTTCTTTTTGAAAGCTAGGAATTGTCTAGAAAATACCTCCCAACTGATGATCTCAAAGATCTTACTCTTTCAATATCCAGTCAGTGTGTACTTGGGACTGTGAAATGCAGTAAAACAAATCAGGCTGCATACAAGGAGGCTTTAATTTTGATCAGTATGTAAGCCCTTAAATTAACTGAAAGATTTTGCTTTTCAGTCCTAAAGTCTTTAAGTTGCCGCTGACTTTATTTTCATTAAATTGTTGGATAAATTGTTGGATGCTTTGATGGAACAGAATTACTGTTTGTGATATATTGTTTGTGAATATTATGTTCCCTTGAAGAGGACAGATGACAGATCTCTCTTCCCTTTTTCTCCCCACTTTACAGGCAGATAGATTTAGAAAGCAAATGCCAACCAAAGAACTATGTGTCCTGGCATCTATTGAAGTATTGTACTTGTGGAAAGCCCTTCCAAACTGTTCCCTCTCGAACCTACAGCACATGAGCCAAGGTATATGGATTCTTGCTTTCTCTATTTACATTTTTTTTTGAGATGTATCATTTTCTTCTGTTGTGTGGAATATCTGATTGTTGCAGCATGAAAACCGGAACTTCTGTGCGTATGTCATAGCAAAACAGTTTGAGTAACAAAAGATAACTCATTTTAAGATTCAGCTAATACTTCATTTTTAACATTTTTATAAGTTTTGGGAGAAGTTTTACTGCCTGCTGCATGTAGTTGGTTTTTAATCAGTTGCATTTGCCTATTGTTTAAAATGAAACAATAGTTTCATAGTTACTGTTCGAAGTCATTAAGCAAAATTTAACTTATTTAAACCTAGCTGAAAAATAAAATTCCTGCCAATTCGTTTCTGCATGTCAGTTTTCTTCTAAGAGGAAATACGTATCTTGTGAGGTCGTCTGTGACATAAGGGTTCTGTTTATCTTGGCTGCTGGGACCATCTTAGTGCTGAAAGGAGCATTTTGTGGTTGACTTTTTCTTAGTCTCCAGATGTCTTTGGATGTCTGTCACATGAAGCTTATGATAGCTGTATTGATCGTGAAGTTTTCCATGCTCTCTACCCTCCATCCTGCAGTCAGTCTGGTTTATATTTCATGTTTACATTCTGTAAACATTCCGAAACCAGAGTTTCAGGTTGTTACCTGCTCGCTGGGAAAATAAAACAAAAACCTCTCCCACCAAGATTCTTCTTTGTTGGTTTGTGGGGTTCTTTTCTGTAATGAAATTTTGGGCATTTCATGTTAAGCTACAAAACCTACCAGTCTTTAAGTTGAGAGTCATGCCTAGTAGTGAGGTTTTGGTCCGGTTTTAATTTGAGATAATTTCTCCATTTAAATTGGATGGCAAAGGGTTCTATTCAGATCCCTAGGTTTTCAAATCCCAAAGATAATGGTGAAAACTTTAAAATTAGATTTAGTAAGGTAAAAATGAATTTATTTTTTTCTGTGTGTCATTTGCCTTCAGAACAATCAGCTTTACACGTTGTAAAGAGGATGTACTTTTCTCCCACACACTCAGAAGCAGTGCAGGTCCTCCTTGTATAAGCTTCTAGCCACTGGTTCACCTTTTAATGTGAAATAGCAGTACAGACTACAATTCAGAGATACCCTTCTTGTACGACACTGACAAATGTGTCTGCATCAGTGATCTTTGGTTGAAGATTTTCTGCGCAATGAGAGCATTATTACTGTGCAACATGTGTATCTTAAGAATGATGAGATGATAGGGGATTTATTTTGCTTCCTCTTCTCTTGAACAATGGGAGTGTAACGTGCCAGGGTCGAGTTTCCAGGCTTTTCCTCAGAGCTAAAAGTTGACTTAAAGGACTTAATTTGTGTCCATGTATATCTTTGTGAGTAAAACGCTAAGTAACTTGAGACTTGCAAGACAAGCCAAGAGTTGGCAGTGTTATGTATTATGTCATGCAGCCAACTCTTAGTTGTTCATAGCTAGTTTATTTGGGTTGTGAATTAACTGTGTTGTGAATGCAGAGCTAGTTAAGATCTGGCAGGGTTAGAGATGAAGCTAAATGTGAAGTTAAAGGAGTTCCACTGCTCCAGGTACAGCAATTTAGCCCCTTCTGATGGATGAAGAGCCCTGCAGGTCTCCCAGTATTTTCTGGGAGGCGACATTGCAGACAAATGCAAATGCCTCCTCATTGGACTAGCATTGGTTTAACAAAGCTGGTGCTAAGAAGCTTGATCAAGATGGAGCCAGATTCATCTAGAGACCCTTATGTACATCATGATTCTGTTCTTCCTGGAAATGGAGCACTACTTCTCAGCTGAGGCACAGTCTGTCCCTAGATTGTGCACTAGCGAAGTTGTGACTGATAAGCCTTATCCTTTCATCAGCACTGAGAATTGTGATGCCAAACTATCCTAGTCTGGGGTTTTAAGTCCAGTACAGATTTTTATGCATCTGTTACTTGGTTTCAATTCAGAACAAATCAGCTTTGTCTGAAATTCTTGCCCTGTGCTCCTTGTAACGTGGACTGTGTATTTTCCCTCCAATATCTCAGACAAACCAGTTTCCCATAACCCTAGAAAGAGGTAGTCGTATTTTATCTTTACCTTTTCGTGTGTATTTCAAAGGCTGGTAGAGAAATGGATTCTCTTCTTGTGAGAAGAGCACCAACTGCATTTGACATCAGCCTATTCATTCTGGTTAAGAATTATACTCACGAGTGACAGATTGCTTGATGGGGTTCATAGAAAATTGCTTTTATTTAAAATGAACCAAATGACTTTGATTTATATTAAATTTACTGGCATCTCCTTTTTCTGGTTAGTTTTAATCATCAGACTAAAAGTCACTGTAGACCACAATTGTTGTCTAAGGAAGGATTTCAATCCATCTTGTTTGTTTACTGGAATATTTTCCTTAAGCTTGTCAGGATGTTGATGATCCATCGGCTGTTGGTTTGAGGAATTTGCTTCTTGGTGCCATACATAAATGCTTAGGAAATTCTGAAGATGCTGTTCAGGTACGTTGTTAAATGCTAATTTCCACCATTAATCCTATTTTATGAGCTATTCTGTTGAATATTGTTAAGTGTGTTAGGCAAGCCATTAGTTTGCAGTGCTATTGATCATTCTATTTTGTGAATCCAGCTGGCCAATGAACATGGCAGCTAAAGTGGCTCGTTAGGAGCAAGAGTTAAGGGGAAGCTGGAAAGAACTAATGAAAAAGCCTTGCTCTGCTGGATTTAGTTTATTCAACAAAGAAAATTCAAACTTTTTTTTCCCCTCCCCATAATAAAATGCAATTCACAGAAGTGACAAGGGAGCTGATGCTGGCTCAGAAATCTTCCCCCACCCCCCTCCCTTTTTTTGCCTGCTGCTTTCAAGCATATTTCAAGTAATCCAGGTACTTGTTAAGGATCCTTGTTAGCGCCAATATTTTTCAGTATGAAGCTGAAGTAGTCTTGAAACAGTCAATATATTACTTAGAATTGTTTGTTTGGATTTTGCTGCCTTGGTACAGTAGCATTGGTAAAAGTCTCTGGGTCCTTGCTTAAAGAATCTCTGTCACTGGAAATTTTTAATGTGTTCTCCTTTTAAACTTGGGCTGCTATCTAATACTTAAAGTTGAATGAATGGTACTTCTGTTTGGTTTGGGGTTTTTTTAAGTATCAAACAGTCAATTTTAATTTATTACTGCAATCTTTTGGGGTTTTTTTTCCTTAATTTTTATAGTTCTTTCAGCGAGCTGCTAAAGATGAACTGTGCCGTCAGAACAACTTATATGTCCAGCCATATGCTTGCTATGAACTTGGTTGTCTTCTGTTAGACAATCCAGAGGTAATACCTATTTTTAAACTCTTAAAATGAAGTTGGGGAATCAACATACCACTATACAAACTATTAAAGTTTATAGATGATAATGTATATTAAGTTTTACAAACTTGTTTTATAGCTACCATAAAGAAACTGAATTGGGTTTTAAGTTAGGGGAAGCAGTTACAGGGTAATGACCAGAACCCACCCATCACTTCATGTAGTGTATGAAGTAGTTGAGCTCATAGTGTCTCGTGTTAAGATTGTGGTTTCAGTTGTTGTTAATCTTGTAAGATTTAATCATCTGAGCTGAATCTTCCCCTTAGAGAGGGAAGGAAAGGAAAGTCAATAGAAATCATTATCATGACAGAGGACAAAACTAGAAAATGCTTTTAAAAATATTTTTTTCTCTTTGAAAACCCTGCTGCTCTACAACTTAGAACTGGGCCTTGAAGTGTGGGTGGGGAAGCTCTCAGTCCAGTAATGTTCCTGCTGCCTGCTTTTCCAATGTTCATACTTAAACTGATGAAGTGTCTCAAAACTGGTGGGTTATCTGAAGACTTTGAGAATGTAGGAGCCATCTTTACTTCCACCCTGCTTTACATGTAGTACTGCACACAGTAAGCAAAAGTGGTAACATGGTTCATGTTGAATGTTGAGGACTGAGGAAGCCTCTGCTTGTAGCTGTACCCAGGAGCTGTGGTAGAGTTTAGTATGTGAAGTGCATGCAGGAAACTCCCTCTTGTGGCGCTCGGATAATGAGGAGGTAAATGATGCTTGACTTGAATAAAGTGGGATGGGGTGGGGAAAAGCAAGAGCTGGAGTCGGTGGTAAGTGGATGCTGTTTATAGAAAATTCCATTTACTAGCTGAGGTGTAATGTGAGAGGTCTTTAATGGCTAAGAAACAGAAGGGAAGAGGATTTTATAAATCACATTTACCTGAGAGGCTGAGCATATTAAAGACCTGAACAACATGTATTGATATGAACATGCATTTTAGTATAAAAAGTATGCTGTTAAATTTACTACATGTTGAAATTATTGTAGTTACAGGATTCAGATAATGTGGTAAATGAAACATCTCTGTTATTTTGAACTTAATTCTAACCAAGTTAAGATTTTAATATGGTTATGTCAAGGAGTTTACAGATTTTTTTTTCTTGTAAATGTGTTATATTGGTTAAATTCAGTGTATAAATAAATATGTTTATACTTGGATATATTTGAATAAGAAGCTATTTTTTGACCCATGTTAGGCAGCTGATTATTTATTTGTAAGGCTTAGAATAAAAAGTTATTATATGAGAAGAAATAAAATGTGAGCTTTTCAGCAGGAAATATTAATCTAAAAATATTTTTTTTTCCATGAGAGCTTGAAATTGGGACTTCTAAAGCACTTTAATGCTCAAAATCCTTGTTTTTTAAAGAAATGGCTTGAAATTTGGTTAAGAAACAAAACCTACTTATTGGTTGGTTAGTCCTTTATCTGTAGTTAGTCATTTATCTGTACTACTGGCTCACCATCACCAGTAGTAACTTGCATTTGAAGCTTTGATCGTCTTATTTTCTGTAGAAGACTAAAATCATGTAATACTGCATTTCTTGGGTGCTTCATTAGTATTTCTAGTTTCTGAATTAGAGGATTGAGAGGGTTTTGTTTGCTCAATACCTTGTTTTCAAGATAGAGATACTATTCCAGACTGACCAGGCCTTATGCTTAAGCTATTCTGTAACATTTGCAATGCATTTCTAATGGAATGTTTGTCTTTTTGTAGACTGTGCCAAGAGGCAAAACCTTACTTCTCCAAGCCAAGGTAAAAACTAAGACACTTTCAAACGTATCTTTCTGAGATGAGTGTATTTGGGAGATTGTGTTTTGGGGAGTTTGGGGCAGGGTGTGTGGATGTTGAGTGTTGGTGTCCCTTACCTATAATCTACAACACAACACTATCATGTAGATATACGTTAATGTATAAAATACACATTTATGTATGTTGTGTAGGTACGTATTTCTAGGTCAGTCACAAGCACATGAGGGCACTCAGGAGAGCCCTCATTAGTGACCTCTCCTGGAGTGTTAGAACCTTGCCAAGTATTTCAACTAAGATTTGGCTGCAGAAAGTTTGAAAATGACAACTCTCCACTCCTTGTCTCTTCCACCTGGTTCCTGCCTTGGGCATGTTGGGATTTTGTAGAGCTTTTGGATTTGTAGGTGCTGTTCAAGTACATGGGATCCAAACAGCATGTTGGAAATGGAAGCTTTCTGGTCTCTTCACCAACTTGGAATTTCTGTAATAATTCTGTTGCTTTTGGTAATGGCAACATGCTGTCACCAGTTCACCTCTTTCCTTCAGTCTCTTGTAACATGACTTCTTAAGCATGAGTAGTAAAATTATCTTCATGTCTGACAGTGGAGGAGATGAATAGTTACATGCTTTTCTTTTTTTCCCACCCCCCAGGAGGAATTTACTGGCTATGACTTTGAGAACAGATTGCACGTCCGCATACACGCAGCTTTAGCCTCTCTAAGGGAAGTAGTTCCACAGTGATGGACCGGAAATCATGTTATCCTTTCCCACAGTTTCTGCACTTTAAGATGAAGCAGAAGAAAAAGCTGTTGGGAAGACCAGCTTTTCTTCTGCAAACCACTTGTGCCAGAGACACTTTCCGAGTACGGTCAGGGTTGGTATGGCTTGGTAAAACATGACAATTTTAACTAAAAGTAAATCAACCAGGAAGAAGGTTAAGTGACCTTGTGTTTTTAACTCTTCAGGTTTTATTTTGTTTAAACCAAGCTGAAAGCAATTGCTTGTAATATTGTGGGTTAGCCTAAATAAGCACACATAATTTATTTTAACAATATTGGCAGGTGCGATTTTTACCTTTTAAAATAGGTAAATTTTAAAATGAATTTAAAATGAAAGGGGAGCACTTCTGGTTTCATTAGAATAATACAATAAAAATAATTGGTATAAAAGTTGAAGTTGGGAATGGTCAGAACACTTTGTTTTTTAACTCAAGTGTTAGCCAGTACAAAAAAGGACAAAAACTGTTCAGCCACAAAAAGCAGATCTTACTAAATTTTAGTGGCTTATGCCAGTGACTTCATGGGGACTAATCTGTGAATTTTAAACTTCACATCCCCTTCCATTCTTCATTCCTTCCTCCCAGTCCAGCTCATAATTGTGATATAAATGATGCTAATATTTAGGATCTTCGCTTCTGGTACATTCCAGCCAAATACTTACTTTGCTTGACATGCAGTTATGGTATGGGCAGTTCTTATTTATGCTTTTAATATTCTGAATATTGCATTAAAATATATGGGACAGATACAGTAGTTTTACATCTTTTTCATTCAAGCTACTGAATCTTTATAGCAGTGACGTCTTAAAGGTACAAAAAAACCCAAATAAAACACAAACCCCCAAATCTACTTTGATAGTTACACCAATACTACAATATAATAAAATCATAGAATAGTTAGAGTTGGAAAGGACCTTAAGATCATCTAGGTCCAGACCTTAAGATCATATAGGTCCAGCCCCCCTGCCATGGCAGGGACACCTCACACTAAACCATGTCACCCAAGGCTCTGTCCAACCTGGCCTTGAACCAGGGATGGAGCATTTACTACTTCCTTGAACAACCCATTCCAGTGCCTCACCACTCTCACAGTAAAGAACTTCCTCCTTATATCTAACCTGAACTTCCCTTGTTTAAGTTTAAACCCATTCCCCCTTGTCCTATCACTATAGTCCTAAATGAAGAGTCCCTCCCCAGCATCCCTATAGGCCCCCTTCAGATACTGGAAGGCTTCTATGAGGTCTCCATGCAGCCTTCTCTTCTCCAGGCTGAACAGCCCCAACTTTCTCAGGCTGTCTTCATACAGGAGATGCTCCAGTCCCCTGATCATCCTCGTGGCCTCCTCTGGACTTGTTCCAACAGCTCCATGTCCTTTTTATGTTGAGGACACCAGAACTGCACATAGTACTCCAAGTGGGGTCTCATGAGAAAATACGAGGTCTCTGTGTGGTAGACCTGTGGTGTTCCAAACATGTGGTGTTAAGATACTGAAATACCTCAGAGAGCTTGGATCTTTTATCATGACCATTTAATTCTTAATGCTTGGCCATCTGTGTGCTCATTTGTAGCTTTTTTCTTTTTACCTTTGTCTGTAGTATGTAGTATCTCCTTATGTTTTTATTCAGTTAATATCATGTTCTAGGAAGGTAAATATTTTTTTAAAGAAGCTTATGAATGGAAATCTGACCAGAAAGTTAGTAGAATTATGTTCTTTTGCAAAGATACAGATATTCTTAAAAGTAGTTATCCAGAAGCCTTATATTTACTTTGGTCAGGTTGCCTTAAACAATTCCTTAGCTTAAACTTTTTTCTTTTTCCCTTTTTGTAAAGTATGTTGCCAAAGTTTTAGACCTTGCCCACACCTAACCTTCATTGATTTGCTTTTGACGTTGCATCTAAAGCAAGACTGATATGGAGGAGAAAAGAAATATCCTATTTGGTGGGCCGGATGAAATGGTTGAGACACTTCTATTTTTCTCTAGAAATACACAGTTCCTGCTATGAAAGGCATTCCTAGAGCAGTTAAATGCTTCTGTTACAGTTCTGGAAGGAGAGGAGAGTCTCTTAACTCTTACAAAAGCAGTTTTATTTTTCTATAATCTAGATGTGCTACAGATGGTGCACTGGGTTTTTTTTATTCAACTTTGACAGTAATACTGAGTCATAAGTGAGTGTTCAACCTTATTTGGTCAATCCAAATAAGTACTGACTAGAAAACAATATATTGTGTATATATAGTGACTACTTAGAATTCAGTAATGATTTTAAAAATGGGCTTTAATGTACTTGAAATCTTATTTTGTCCTATCTGACTTTTAATGTTTTGCAGAGACACAGTTAGAAAGGATATAGCTACAGACAAAATTCCTTTTAAATGCACTGCTTAAGTATAATGTGAGTTTAGGCTGTTCAGGACACAAAGCACCTGCATGTGACTTGTGTTGGGATATCTAAGGTCTGCATACTCAGAGGTAGCTAGCAAGTTGTAGTAGATGTACTAAAAGGCCTTCTGTTCTCACCAGGCCAAAAGTGGGTATGTAAAGACACTACATAGTCATACAACAGTTTAACTCTGTGCAAATTGCAGCTTTTCTGTGGTTTTAGCGAATCATCACTGAAATAGAACTGGTTCTGTATTTCTTTTTTTCCCCTTCCCCTTGTAGGAGCATCTCCTACATTGTAAATGTCAACATTTATTTTATATGTTAGATTGTGCCTGTGATGAGAGAAACTCCAACAGTATTTTGTGTAACCTGCTACGGTTTTATACTTTGGAACTCGGAGGCATGGTCTAATAGCAATAATGGAATATGCATCTAGCTAATATCTTTACTGGGTCAGGTGTTTTTGTTGATGTCGATGCAGTTTTTATCTCAGTATGACTCATTTCAAATAACTAGCATTTTTAGATGTCACAAGGTGACATATTTAATGTGATGTACTGTAAATGTTGTTAATTTACAGAACTTGCACTTTTATATTTCTGGGTAAAACGAAAAGAAACATGGACATGAGTTCTGTTCCCTCGCTCCTCAAATTTGTCTCTTAATTGGTGGCCTCCTGAACAAAATGATAGCAAGCATTGGGAAAACCGTGATGTCAAGTGACTCTGTAACAAAGTTTTCTAGTCAGCAATTACCTCAGCATTTGTTCTTCCAGTATAGTTGTAGTCTCCTGGTTTAGAAAGTGAGTTACATGTGTCATGTTGAGATCAGCCATAGAGTGAACAAGATTTAGGGTGTGTTTTTAAGACATCAAATTTACTTGTTCTTCATTAAAGAACCACACACAATTGTATTTGTTGTATTCCTACACCTTTGAAAAACGTTCCTGATTTACTCTAAAGCAAGCACTTTAATTTCTTCTGACTTCAAATGCTTGTTTCATAATATACTTACGCTTTGTTCTTAAATAAAATACCCCAAATGTTGTATTGATTTGCTTTTCAATTTACAGTTATGTGATTGTCTTTCCAACAACTGATCCTACTAGTGTTTAAAAATTGCTGTGTAACTGAGGTTTGAATGGGAGCAAGTGTTAGGCTGGTGCAGGGTTATGCATGGTGTTCTGAAGGTCCAGTTGAACCTCCCAGTGGAGTCAAAGCAGCGGAGCCCATAAACAACTCTCAGAATTCCCTTTCCGCTCTTTATTACAAAATAGTAACAGTGGCAGCAGTCGCTTTCATGGAAAATTGTGCAATCCCAAACAAGTAGTAGTAAAGGAACCAAAAGTACTGTTTCTTTTGAGCCAGTAGGAAATCCAGCTTGAGACAGGCTTTCCAGCATTAAATACTGAATTATTTCTAGTTTTGACCACTTTTTTTAATGTATGTTAGGGCCCCCAAACTGGACCCAGGGAAGAGTGTATGTCCCAGTAGTACAATTACCTTTTCATATTAGAGCTGAATCTTGCCTCCTTGCTTCTGCTCAGAATCTTTGCGCAGTCACCAAAGATTTTCATGAGGCTATTTAGCCTCTCTCTTCTACCCACCAGTGTGTTTCAGCCACAGGGAGTTCATGTACAGTTGTCTTACTGTTACCCCTGACTTTTTCATTGCTGCTTTTTCCAGAACACTGTTTCTCTTTAGTGTGACTTTTCCCCATCAGGTAATCTGTTCAGCTCAGCAGGACTGACTCGTCTTTGGCGGTTTTCAGTCTTTTTTTGGCAAGTTGTGCTTACTTATAGGAGATGCCCAGAAGGGCTCCCAGGTGAAGAGGCTAAGGGAAAAAAGCGTTTGAGTTGAATGTGTAAGAGGGGAAGAAGGAGAGAGAGATTGTCAGGCTTCACAGAGCAAAACCATTTACATAACAAATGCCTCCCAGTCTTTCACTAAAAGAATTATGTTTACTGTATTGAAAAGGTAATTGTACTACTGGGACATACACTCTTCCCCACTTGTAGCAAAGGCCTCGACTTTGTACTGACAAAGATAGAAACACATAAAGACACTTTAAAAAACGTTATTTTGTACCTTTGGTATGAAAAGCAGGAATTTTTTCATGGAGATTTTTTGGTATATGAATGCAAACTCCCACTTAGAATTCCACTGCAGTCTCTGGCAGGTAGAAACAAAGATGATGCTTGTGAACAGTGCAAGTCCTCTTCTCCTGCCTATTTATCTGAAGCTTTGAAAGAGATTCCAAGTTAAAAACTGAGCATGCCCCATGTGTCACCAAGCAGTGTGGTTCATTAACCTGTTGTGAACTATCGAATGAAGAGTTAATGAATGATCTGAGCCTGATTTTGGCTTATTTGGGACTTTGATTTGCTGAATTTCTGTCCAAAGTTTCTAAGACTCTAATGTTGCCTGGAAGCCATTACTTCTGCAGGTGGGGCAAAGCATGGTAGGACAATGTGACAGCCTACAGTTGGGCAAACTGTTCTTAGGCTGACTGGCTCTTCAGTTTGGGACCAGATGTGTTTTTCCTGATAATCTTAAGTTTGACAGACAGTTTTGTGGCTGAAGCCTGTTTAAATATTTCATTAAATAGGTTCATACCTCTGTTACCTGTGATAATAACTTTTTCTGTGGTTTATGACATCTGTACTTAAACATCTTGGAGGCTTTTGCTGTGCAAAGCTTTGCAGACCTAGACTTTTGACAGTCTTCAGCAGAAGCAAATTTACAAGTTACCTTCTACATCTGTATTCATTGAGGATGGTCTCAAAGTAACTGCCTCCATACCCAGGTATGTTAAATGGCTTTATGAAGTCCTGTTGCTTCCATACATTTTCCATACAGAAATCTACACTTCAGGTTACTGTCACAACCTCAGAAGTGACATATTTTCTAGTCCTCATATATATTCTTGAAGTATATATTATTCTTTCGGTAGGAAAGCTATTCTTACTGATTTCTTAAGTCCATAGCATATTCATATCTAACTTTTATAATATTATGGTCTGCATTGTCACTCTCCAGGACTGATGAGCTGTCATGTGGGAAGTTTTCTTAATGAGAAATTGCTTTCTAAGGATTCTTCTATGGAAGAAGTGTTTTGTGGTAAGTTTACCATTAACATACTTTCCAGTGAACCAGATTGAAAGTGATAAAAATACTCTGCTAATTTTGAATGACCTCTTGCAGATATGTTACTTATTAAAGTTCTTGTAGATAGTCTGAATACTTTAGCAGCAGTTGAATCTTAAATCTTCAGTGCTGCTGGAATTCGCCTGGGGATTTTTATAGGTGCAGACATCCAGCAATGCAACATCAGGTAGGTAGATGATGGTTTTACAACTTTGATAA